TCCTAGGTTTCCCCCTCGAGTCGTCGGACTGGCAGTTCTACCACCCGCCTTCTCACCGATTCTTTCACTCTCGTAACGTCACTTTTGACAAGTCCGTCTCCTTTTACAACCGCTTTCCCCATCGTGGTCCCCCGGTCACACCCCCCCAGTTCCTTGTGCCCCCCCCTCCCCCGGTCGACCCTGTTCACCCCCCTACCCGCCCTGCCCCGTCTGGTTTGTCTCACGTCACCCTCCTCCTGTCGGTTGTCCCTGTTGAGGAGTCTGCTGACTCTCGCGGCTCGGCAGAGTCTCTTCCCCCGCCTGTCCCTGCCCCGGTCTCACCTCCCCTGTCGCCGCCGCCGCTGTCCCCGCCGCTGCTGCCTCCGCCACTGCCACGGCAGCCGCAGCCGTCGTTGTCTCCGCCGCTGGGGTTCGTGCATTCTAGGGGTGTTGGGAAGCGGACTGGAGCTAGTTCTGGAGCGGGCTCTGGGGATGCTCGTGTGGGGCTTCTCGAAGGGAGCTGTGTTTTCGCGGGAGGTTTTCTTGTTGGAGTCAGGCAGCAATCGCAGCTGTCATCGCCGGTGTGCGCTCTTTGCCTCCTCGGTCTCCCTTCCCCTGACCGCCCATCGCTGCCTCCCCCGCTGCCGCCGCCTCCTCCTCTGCCGGTCCATGGCCCCGTGCTTCCTCCCTCGGACTCCTCTCCAACTCGTGTCCCTCTCCATTCTCCTCCTCTGTCTCCTCCCCTCTCTCCTGACCCAACTCCTCCATCTCAAGTGTGGTCTCGTCGTCCGTCTCCTGCTCGTCCTACCTCCCCTCTTCTGCATTCTCACCCTATCCTGCTTTGCTCCCACACATCTCGTGCTCCTCCTTTCCTCCCGTCTCCACCTCCGTCGCCACTTGCTGTGGCCCCGCCTCCGTTCTCGGACTTCCTCCGTGCTGCGCGTCCCCTTGTTCCTCGTGTTCTTGCCTCTCTTGTTACCGACCCGTCCGTTACTGTCTCGAGTCTGTCGGCTCTTGTCGCTGCTGTCACTGACTTTGCCACTACCCGCCGCCTGGACTACGCCACCGCTCTGGTCTCTGACCCTGCCTGCCCTCCGACCGTCGGGGGTGTGGCTGCTCTTGGCAGAAACGTCTTAGAGGACAGGCAGTTCGAGCTCGCTTTCCTGCCTGAGGCCGCTCTCCATCTCTGTTCCATGCTACTAGTCCCTGAGGGTGACCCAGACGCCCTCGACATCCCGACCCCTCGCACCTACGCTGAGGCAACCTCGGGACCCTGGGCCTCTCAGTGGATAGCTGCCATGGAGCAGGAGATGGCATCTTGGAGATCCACAGGTACCTTCGTCGACGCAATTGCCCCACCTTGGGTGAACGTACTCGATGGTCGGTGGCTCTTCAAGGTGAAGCGCCCTCCTGGAGAGCCGCCTGTCTTCAAGGCGCGCTACGTTGCTCGAGGCTTCAGTCAGCGTGAGGGGGTGGACTTCTTTCAGACCTTCGCCCCGACCCCGAAGATGACCACTCTTCGGGCACTGCTACGCGTAGCAGCACAGCGTGACTACAAGCTCCACTCCTTCGACTTCTCCACAGCTTTCCTCCAGGGCAGTCTACATGAGCAGATCTACCTGCGCCTCTTCCAGGGCTTCTCCGGTACCTTCCCCCCTGGCCCCGAGTGGCTCCTCCGGCGCCCCGTCTACGGCTTGCGACAGGCGCCCTGTGAGTGGCACGAGACGCTGCGTGCTACACTTGCCGACTTGCAGTTCTTTCCTTCGTCTACAGACCCCTCGCTCTTTGTCCGTTTCGGCCAGACTCCGTTCTACATCCTTGTCTACGTAGACGATCTGGTCTTTGCTACTGCAGACAGAGACGCACTGGCCGCTGTGAAGGCCGAGCTGCTGAGGAGACACACCTGTACTGACCTAGGAGAGCTGCGCTGCTACCTTGGCTTGCAGATCTCCAGGGACAGAGCAGTGCACACCATCACTCTCTCACAATCACACTTGGTGCGCCAGGTCCTTCAGAGGTTCGGCCTTCAGTTCTCTTCCGCACAGCCCACCCCTCTGTCAGTAGACCACAGACTCTTTGCCGCAGTCCCTGAGTAGGCTATAGAGCCTAGTGGTCCTTACGCAGAGCTGGTGGGTTGCCTCATGTACATGATGACTTGCACTCGTCCAGATCTCGCATACCCTCTCACTATCCTGGCTCGCTTTGTGGCCCCAGGCAGACACCGACAACAGCATTGGTCGGCAGCTAAGAGGGTTTTGCGTTATCTAGCAAGTACATCGGGCATGGGGCTAGTGCTAGGAGGACGCAGACCAGTGGTCCTTACCAGGCACACATACGCTTCTTGGGCAGACGACGTCGAGACCCCCAGGTCCTTACAGGGCTACTCCTTTAGCCTTGGTGCAGGTGCCATCTCGTGGAGGTCCACCCGTTCCTCGTCTTTTGCCCAGTCTAGCTGTGTGGCTGAGATCTACGCAGGTTCCATAGCAGCATAGGAGCTCCGCAGGCTGACCTTCTTGCTCACCGACTTGGGTGAGCGGCCTAGCTCTGCCCCGATTCTGTACGCTGACAACAGGGCCATGATCCTCCTGTGTCAGGAGCCACAACTTGAGGGCAGAGCGAAGCACATCCAACTGCGGTACTTCCTCATGCGAGAGCTGCAGTAGCGTCGCCAGGCTCGTGTAGTACACTTGGCCTCAGGTGCCAACACAGCTGATATCTTTAGTATGGCGCTTGCGCCTAAAGATCATCAGCGGCACTGTGTACAGCTAGGTCTCGTTCCTGTAGCCTCTCACTTGCTAGGACCTTGAATGTGTACAGACCTTTATATATATTACCCTGACTGGCCTTGTGGCCTCTTTCCAGTGGCTGGACTAGTAGTGTCTGTTAAGAACTTAGGATGCTAGGTCCCTAAAGTTAGGACACTAGCTTAGCTAGGATAGGAGCAAGGCCGCCATGGAACGGCGCTAGGAAAAAACGGATCTAGGAGTAGGAGGAAAGTCGAGAAGAAAGAGTGATGGATTAGGAAGAGAAGGGAGTACAAGGAGGGGTTTGTACCCCCTACAGAAAGGTTCAGTAGCAACCTACCAAGCCTATATAAAATTATAACTTATATAATTTTAACACACCCCCTAGGCTTGGTAGTGTCAAGCCCACTCACACCCCCACACCCGCACCCAACCCACCCCCTAACCCCGCACACCCTCAGGCTCGTGCTTAGCCGGGTATCTGACCCTCAGGCAAAGCGTTGACACACCCCCGTACACGAGGCAGCCGACGGCGTCTAGGCGGGTCAGCGACAAGAAGCCGCGGAGCTCTGGCTCAAGGCGGCTGGGTCGCCGACGACAGGCGGCGACTGCCGCGGCTGAGGGCTCTCGGCAATGTGGCAACGACCGGGCAGAAGACAGCAGCTGCGACAGGAGGAAGGGAAGATGCAGGGGGGGGGAAGGGAGAATGGGGGGGAGGGGGGGGGGGGGCGGGGCGAGGCGGGTCATCAGCGACGCGCCATAAGAGGCGCGGCGCTTACTGGCAGGGGGCCGGGCAGGTGACGACGGGGCCAGGCAGGGCGCGACGGGGCCGAGCGGGTGCGACGAGGCCAGGCAGGGCGCGACGAGGCCCAGGAGGGGCGCAGCCGCGGCGTCGCGCTGACGTCGTCCCGGTCGCGTGTCGAGACGGCCGCGGCGTCGCGCTGACGTCGTCCCGGTCGCGTGTCGAGACGGCCGCGGCAGGACGGCGCAGCCAGCGAAAAGACGACGACGCCACAGCGTGACGTCGCCGCGGCCGCCATGGCAGCGTCGATGCCGCAGCGGGGCGTCGACGCTGCGACTGCAGAACAACAGCCCGACTCCGCGGCAGCGCGTCGGGCCGGTCGCGGCACGACGCGCCCAGTGGCAGCGCGACGTCGCCACTGCAGCAAAACGCGGCCGCCATGGCCGCTGGAGTGAATGAGGGTGAGGAGTAAATGGCGGAAGCGAGAGGAGGCAGTCCAGCAGGAAGGATCTCCTGCTCTGATACCATGTTAAGAACTTAGGATGCTAGGTCCCTAAAGTTAGGACACTAGCTTAGCTAGGATAGGAGCAAGGCCGCCATGGAACGGCGCTAGGAAAAAACGGATCTAGGAGTAGGAGGAAAGTCGAGAAGAAAGAGTGATGGATTAGGAAGAGAAGGGAGTACAAGGAGGGGTTTGTACCCCCTACAGAAAGGTTCAGTAGCAACCTACCAAGCCTATATAAAATTATAACTTATATAATTTTAACAGTGTCGCCCTGGTCTTACTCTTGCATTGTCTGTACTTGTTTGACTGGTCTTTAGACCCCTGCCTCAGAGGCTGGACTAGTAGTGCCACCCTGAGCTGTTTCTCTCTCATCGAGCACTGCCCCTATCCAGTCTAGGGGGTGTGTCAAACATATATTGTATGAATCTGTAGACTATATAGGGTTGTGCCTTAGGGAGTACAATCCATTAGGTGATATTCCCTTGTATGCCTTGTTTTAGACTTCACTTGAACAATAACATCTTAGGGTATTGTCAAAGTTTCATTAAAAAAACGTATGGGTGTTAACAGTAGGCTGGAAAAATATAAAGCTCATGTCTTATGTAAAATGCAAAATGAATTTGGTTTGTACCAGACACTTTGAGGCCAGAACTTCACCAAGCAACTGCTAATGAGGAATCTGCTACAAAGATCGCACACTCTGACAGGGTCAGTCCGGAGCCTCTGAAAATCGTGGGAGATTGATCCAGCAGCAGTGCCAGGTGTCCTTGACCAATCTGGGATGAGTGCTGTGAACAGAGCAGGTTTCGTGCTTCTGAAAGCAATTGAGATATTCTCGACCATTGCTGCTGACGTGATCGAGGTGGTTAAACTGCAAGATGGACGGTCAAGATCCTCTCGACACTTGCTGTCTTTCGATTTCGTTTTGCCACTTGTATTGATTCGTCTGCTCGTCTTTGCGTTGCGAATGGTAGTTGCCGCTATTTTCATCCTGCTCGCTTTTTGCAGCTGAGCGGACCTTGGTAATGAAGGACGAAATACTGTTTTATAGGCAAGAAAAACGAGCAGGGTGTTATGTAAAATGCATACCCAGAAAAGCGGGTACTCTAAAAATTGCGCCATATCATAAGCTTTCCCCCGCATATGCCACCCATGGGCTGACTATTTCGGTGAGTCGTATATACGGGGGATTACGGTATCCTTTATAGGGAGCACGCTTCCCAAAATTTTACAACCATGATGCGTCATAACTCCAACGGCCCACCCAACCACCAAACACCATTGCTCCACCGAGTGCAACTTGTGGAAGTCGGATGAACAAGCGAGACGAGTGTGGGATGGCATTGACCTGGAGGATAGAGCGGGGGAGTTGCGTGCGAGGCATGACATGTAAGTGCGGCATCATATAAAGGGGCCAGAGGTTCACCCTGTGCGATAGGGTTGGAGGCCGCGCGGTGAATGGGAGGAAAGCACGAGAGTGCTGCTGCAATAGGAGGATGCAGCAGGGGAGGGATGCAGCAAGAGAAGGGATGCAGCAAGAGAGGGGATGCAGCAGGGGAGGGATGCAGCAAGAGAATGGATGCAGCAGGGGAGGGATGCAGCAAAAGAGGTGGGGATGATGCATGAGGTGGGGATGAAGCATGAGGTGGGGATGAAGCCTGAGGTGGGGATGAAGCATGAGATGGGATGAGGCATGAGGTGGGATGCAGCAGGGGAGGGGTGTGCAGCATGGGATAGGGTACAGCATGGGGTGGGCCAAATCATGGGGCGGAATGCTGCAGGGGCGGGCATAAACCCAGGGGAGGTATACAGCATGGGGCGGAACGCGAGAACGGGGGAGCGGGAGAGAATGGGAGAGTGCGAAAGTGGGAGATTGGGAGGTTGGGAGTGTTACTGGAGGGAGGGAGGAAGTTACTGGAGAAATCAGGGGCGTTGCTTGGAGACGTCCCAGGAGTAGTTTTCTGGTCATATGGATCCTGGCGCGCTGTCCCCTATGGCGGGCCCTGGGCCATTGGGTGGAGGGGTGGAGGAAGAGAGAGGGGTGAGGTAGATGTGAGGGGGCCTAGGTCGAGAGAGTGGGGAGATGGGTTTTGTGCAGACCACTGGGTGGGTGGTGTGGTGATTTTGGAGACCCGGGGCAGGTGGGGGGGGGGGGGGGAAGGGGTGGAGGGGAGGAGGGGGACGGGGGAGAACGGGGAGGGGGGGGTTGTGAGATTTCAAAAATGGGGGAGGGCACAGGGGAAGGGGGGTTAGCATGGGAGACGGGGGGGGAGCATGGGAGACGGGGGGTGAGCATGGGAGATGAGGAGGGATCCCGGGAGTAGGGGGTTGCGCATGGGAGAGGGGGGGGGAGCATGGGAGAAGGGGGTTGAGAATGGGAGAGGGGGTTAGGGCATGGGATAAGAGGGGTGAGAATTGGAGAGGGGGAGGGAGCATGGGAGAAGGGGTGAGGGCACAGGGTGAGGGCACGGGGGAAGGGGAGTGAGCATGGGAGACTCGGAGGGAGCATAGGAGACGGGGAGGGAGCATGGGAGAAGGGGAGGGAGCATGGGAGAAGGGGGGTGAGCATGGGAGACGGGGAGGGAGCATGGGAGAAGGGGGGTGAGTTTGGGAGACGGGGTGAGAGCATGGGCGAAGGGGGGAGGGAGCATGGGAGAAGGGGGGTAAGCATGGGAGACGGGGGGTGAGCATGGGAGACGGGGAGGGATCCCTGGAGTAAGGGGTTGAGCATGGGAGAGGGGGAGGGAGCATGTGAGAGGGGGAGGGAGCATGGGAGAAGGGGGGTGAGCATGGGAGAGGGGGTTAGGGCATGGGAGAAGAGGTGTAAGCATGGGAGAGGGGGGGGGAGCATGGGAGAAGGGGGTTGAGAATGGGAGAGGGGGTTAGGGCATGGGAGAAGAGGGGTGAGCATGGGAGAGTGGAGGGAGCATGGGAGACGGGGTGAGGGCATGGGGTGAGGGCATGGGGGAAGGGGAGTGAGCATGGGAGACGGGGAGGGAGCATGGGAGAAGGGGAGGGAGCATAGGAGAAGGGCGGTGAGCATGGGAGACGGAGAGGGAGCATGGAAAAAGGGGGTGGGATACAGCAGGGATAGAGATACAGCAGGGGAGCATGCAAGCAAGAGAGCGGAAACGCGGGAGAGCGGGAGAGTGGGAGAGCAGGAGAAAGGGAGATGGGGAGCGCGGGCGAGCGGGCGAGCGTGAGAGCAGGAGAGCGGGAGCGCAGGAGAGCGGGAGCGCGGGCGAGCGGGAGAGCGGGAGCGCGGGCGAGTGGGAGCGCGGGAGAGCGTGAGCGCGGGCGAGTGAGAGAGCGGGAGAGCGGGAGCGTGGGAGAGCGGGAGAGCGGGAGAGAGTTCGTGGAATGGCGTGGAGCTTGGCACGGGCAGGCAAGGCTGCGTGGGCGATTCCTAGTGGCCCTTGCTTGGCACGCGGTTGGGAGCGGGCTTGGCGCGAGGTGCGGAAGGGATAGGCATGGGTCGGGCGAGGGCATGCCCTGCCCAGAACGGCGTTGTGCATGGTGGACAAACGCGATACGTGTTTCGCGTGCGAGGTGTTGGGCGGCGCTGCTGAATAACTGAGTGTTGTTCTCGCCTCTCCCAATCGCGCATTTTTCGTGACGTCGCGGCGTGGGCATGGGAATGGCTTGGCGGGAATGGCGGGGCACTGCGTCATGGCCTAGGAGTGCATAATAGTGTCAAGGGGACTTTGCATCTTGGTGGGTTGGTGGGTTGTTTTGATGTAGGGAGACCACCTGCGTCGTATGGCTATCGCTCGGTCAATCAGTGATTTGCGCCAGCCAAGTTTCCATCCCCCTCTCAAGGGTCAACAGGGTTACCATGTTTTATTGGTTTTGGCGTAGCGTGGGTTCGCCACTCGGCAGGTTCAAAATCCTTTCGCTTTAAGCAGATGTGGAAACTATTACACTTTCCTTGAAGTTATGTGGCGAACTAATGTGGAAACAAAATCCTTCCTAACTAAACCCTTGAAGCAGATGTGGAAACTATTACACTTTCTTTAAGCAGATGTGGCGAACCTTGAAGTTATTGTATAATTTCGCTTTAAGCAGATGTGGAAACTATTAGGAAAACACTTTCCCTTACTGTCCATTTCATGCACTAGCATACACTGTCAACAAATAAAATTGTCTATACTAGGTACAGTATATTTGTTATAGCCTTAGTTAGGTCAGTTCTTAGAGGGTACATTCCCACCTTTGTAACCCTCAGCCTTCCTCCCTTAGTCCACTTTTCTCTAGACACATGCTGTCCCTGTGGCGCCTCCCCCAGCCTCGGTCCCCCACGCCCCTCAGCCACCTGCTCCCTTGCCTCAGCAGCAGCAGTTGTCGCCGCAGCAGACTCCACGGCTGCAGCAGCAGCAGCAGGGAGCAGTGGGCTCTGGGGGTGCTGGTTCTGGGGGTGCGAGTTCTGGGGGTGCTGACTCCAGAGGTGCTGGTCCTGTAGGTGGTGAGACCGAGGGTGTTAGTATTGGGGGTGCTGTTTTGCGGTGTGCGGGTGGCAACTGGGGTGCCACTGGAGGTCCTGGAGCGGACAAGGAGCAGCAGCAGCAGCAGGTGCAGCCGCCGCAGAAGGAGCCACCGCAGTCTGCCCTTCGTCTCCTTGGTCTTGCTCCAGGTTCCCCTGTCAGCCCTCCCGTTCCCCATCCGATGCATGACCCTGTTTACGGCCCGTTGTTTCCTCCTCCGGACTCCTCTCCAGCTCGTTTCCCCACGCGCTCCCCTCCGTCCACTGACCTGTCCCCTGTCCCCCCTCGTCCCCAGTCCCCAGTTCTTCCCCACTAGGTTCGTCGCCCCTCTGGTGCTCGTCTTGTCTCTCCCCATCCTAGAGTCCACCCTATGCTCCTTCGTTCGTGTGCTCCTCTTGTCACAGTCCTCCCGTTGCCTCCCCCGTCGTCGCTACCGTCGTCGCTACCGTCGTCCCCCCCTCCTCGCTCCGACGGTGTTCGCACTGCTTGTCCAGTCCTATCGCGCCTACTTGCGTCGCTTGTCACTGATCCTAGTTCTCCTCCTGAGTCAGTCTCCGTGCTGGTCGCTGCTGTCGTTGACTTTGCTGCTAGCCACCGCCTTGACTACATTGCTGCTCTAGTCTCTGGTACTGTCCGTCCTCCGTCCGTCGGGGGTGCACCTGCCCTTGGCAGTGACGTGCTAGAGGACAAGCAGTACGAGTTGGCCTACCTTGCTGCCGCTGTTCCCCATCTCTGCTCCATGCTTGTATCCCGAGAGGGCGACCCAGACGCTCTCGAAATCCCTGTTCCTTGCTCTTACGCTGAGGCGGTGTCGGGGCCCTGGGCAGCCCAGTGGATACACGCTATGGAGACTAAGATGGCATCCTACAGATCCACTGACACCTACGTCGACACAGTTCCCCCGCCTGGGGCGAAAGTAGTCGATGGCATGTGGATCTACAAGGTGAAGCACGCACCTGGAGAGCCGCCGAAGTTCAAGGCGCGTTACGTGGCTAGAGGCTTTAGTCAGCGTGAGGGAGTGGACTTCTTCCAGACCTTCTCCACGACCCCGAAGATGACTACTCTTTGGGTCCTTCTTCACGTAGCCGCACAGCGTGACTATGAGCTTCACTCAGTCGACTTCTCCACAGCGTCCCTGTAGGGTAGTCTGCACGAGCAGATCTACCTCCGGCGCCCTCTAAGCTTCTCTGGGTCCTTCCCACCTGGGACCCAGTCGAGCCTGCGCCGTCCTGTCTACGGCCTTCGTCAGGCACCCCGTCATTGGCACGACACACTTCGCACCACTCTTGCTGAGCTGCAATTCTTTCCGTCCTCTGCTGACCCCTCTCTCTTTGTTCGCATGGATCAGACACCGTTCTACATTCTAGTGTACGTAGATGATCTTATCTTTGCTATTCCTGACAGAGTCGCACTGGCCTCAGTGAAGGCCGAGTTACTTAGGAGACACACCTGTACAGACTTGGGGGAGGTGAGGCGCTATCTGGGCTTGGAGATCTCTCGTCACCGTGCCGCTCGCACGATCATACTCTCCCAGTCACATATGATGCAGCACATCCTCTAGAGGTTTAGTCTCCAGTTCTCCTCAGCACAGCCCACCCCCCTACGTATGGATCACAAGCTCTTTGCTCCTGTTCCGGCTGAGCCGGTCGAAGCTAGTGGTCCATACGCAGAGCTGGTGGGGTGCCTCATGTACCTGATGACCTGCACTCGATCAGATCTAGCATACTCTCTCAATCTCCTAGCTCACTTTGTCGTGACAGGCAGGCACCGACCAGTCCATTGGTCGGCTGCCAAGAGGGTACTGCGGTATCTGGCGAGCACATCAGGACTGGGGCTTGTGCTAGGAGGACGGGAGCGAGTGGTGCTCACTGGACACACAGATGCGTCGTGGGCAGACGACTTGGAGACGCTCAGGTCGACTCAGGGCTACTGCGTTAGTCTTGGTGCTGGTGCAGTCTCGTGGAGGTCCACCAGGTCGTCGTCTGTAGCTCAGTCCAGCTGTGAGGCAGAGATCTACGCTGGGGCCATGGCTGCACAGGAGCTCCGCTGGCTGACGTTCTTGCTCACAGACTTAGGTGAGCAGCCTAGGTCTGTCCGGTCCTGTTTGCTGACAACAGGGCCATGATCCTCTTGTGTCAAGAGGCACGAATTGAGGGCAGAGCAAAGCACATCCAGCTGCGGTACTTCCTGATGCGAGAGTTGTAGTAGCGCGGTCAGGTCCGAGTAGTACAATTGGCCTCAGAGGCCAACACCGCTGATATCTTCACCAAGGCACTTGCGTCTCGTGACCATAGCCTCAATAGCAGCACCTCTCCTTTTATCCTGCGTCATACTATACCTGCCTGTACTTGTTGTGTTATACCTGCTTGTCTTGCTACACTTGCTGACTTGCCTTGTGGCCTCTTGTCTCAGTGGTCAGACTAGTAGTACTGCCCTGAGTTTTCTTATTACACTCATCAGAGGTCGGACTAGTAGTGCTGCCTTGGTGTACTTTTCTTCTTAGGAACTGCCACTATCTTGGCTAGGGGGTGTGTCAACAAATATAATTGTCTATGCTACTGTAGGTACAGTATATTTGTTATAGCCTTAGTTAGGTCAGTTCTTAGAGGGTACATTCCCACCTTTGTAACCCTCAGCCTTCCTCCCTTAGTCCACTTTTCTCTCGACATTCTAACATACACAACCGTTGCCATCAGTCCTTTCCGGTTAATACTGTTTGCCCGATACATACTTTGTCGACCCAGCCCACGTCAGCACTTATAAGCCCACGCTCATCGAGCCATGCTCCGAACTCGCGCACTAGCTAAAATCTTAGTCCCATCAATAGACGTTACTCATAGCGCTTTGGTCTATAAATGCTTTGTATGTATCTTCGTTCAACTTGTTTTCACGTTTTCCACTACTTCATATCAGATACTAGGCCGTTCGGCTACACCTGAAATGTGGATCCTAATACTTGGTATGCAGAGCCCTTGATCCTAAGCCAACCCAAATATTCGCCGCGAAACCTTTAACTAGTGCTCACGACTAGAGGAGGAGGCTAGACAACTCTTATGAACTATCAAAGCTATCACCAAAGAGCCCGCACATAGGCTCATGTGAATTAATGCACGGTGATGACTAGGAGCGACTAACAGCCTCTCGGAGTCATCTCGGAGCCGCGCAAACCGCCATGAGCACCTGTAAGAACTCACTTGCTGACCAAAAAGACGAACATGTCAAAGAAATGCGGTCGCAACTTGCGAGATATCATCAGAAGATGCAAATTATGTAGGCGACGATCACACCTCAGCAGACGACCGCTACTAAAGGCAAAGGCAGACCGAGCGAACCATTACCAGCCACCGCCGCCAAAGTTATCGACAAGCATTCATCGCCGAAATCCACATCTCATATGAAGACAATAGGCAACAGCAGCAGCAAGACAATACAAGGGGAAATCGGGGCGGAGATTTCGACGGCCACTCGTAGCCAAAAGCCAAACAGTGTATGGAGGTCTATTGGATCCCGCTTTCTTCGCCGGGACCCTCGATTCTGCAGCAGCGCACGTTGATTCCACAGTGACCGCCGAACTTTGAACTGGCGACACGAGGACCGTCCGGTTGGATACTGCGTATGAACGCCTTTTATCGGGCGTGTCACGGGAAGAACGACAAGGCAAAAATCGCATACGCCATTTCGCTAACGCAAAATGCTGCTAGCACTAAGTGGTACAAGAAGGTGGACCTGATGGGTATGGAAGGACACCTTGACGTGGAATAAGGCAGGGCACGCAATTTTAATTGGACTCCATAGAGCACGTGGGACGCGTGGTGCATGGCTCCCAGGGCAAGATTCGACGACATCGACGAACAAGATGCCTCCCGCGAGAAGCTACGCAATTGTCGACATCTAGGATCCTTCCAAAAGTGTACGACGAGTTACTTGGAGCTGTGTGATTAGGCTGGTTGCATGTACATCACCGAAAATTGTTACATTTATATGGGAGGAGTAAAGCTAAAGATCGCGCGGGACATTGTGATGCCTGATATTTTCGATTTCGACGAAATTATTGTAAACGCAAAAGTTAATGTAGCGTGCTCTTTCTTCCCCCGTCTGTACTCTACCCTTTCGTAAAAGATCAATCAAAGGTGCAGTCAGCCCCGCCATATCCCGAACGAATTTACAAAAGTAATTTAGGAACAAAAAAAAAGGAGCTCAAAGGTGTAGTCAACACCGCCATATCGTGGGGATCCCCGCCGCCGTGGTGG